AAGGACAATTGTAATGTTTTTAGTCGACTCATATTTTTGTTTTTATTGTTTCTCCCATTTTGCTATGATTTTTAAACGTATCAGCCTAAAATAATTTGTAATATCTTCCTTTTCTTTTTTTTTTTTTAATTTTTTTTTTTAACGTTTATTTATTTTTGAGACAGAGAGAGACAGAGCACGAACGGGGGAGGGGCAGAGAGAGAGGGAGACACAGAATCGGAAACAGGCTCCAGGCTCTGAGCCATCAGCCCAGAGCCCGACGCGGGGCTCGAACTCACGGACCGCGAGATCGTGACCTGAGCTGAAGTCCGACGCTTAACCGACTGCGCCACCCAGGCGCCCCTTCCTTTTCTTTTTAATGCTTATTAAGATATGTAGTGATGTCTCCTTTTTAATTTCTGACATTGTTTATTGTTTTTTCTTGGTAAGTCTCACTATTTGCTTATCAATTTGATTGGTCTTCACAAAAACTAAATTTTATTTGTTAATTTTTGATCCAGCTTCCATTTCTTTAGTACTTTTATTAATGTTTTTATTTCCACTTGTTTTTCAACCATCTTCCAGTGCCATAAAATTCACTGTTTTCGGTGTATTTCTACTTTCTTGGTTTTAATATGCTTTTCTTTTTCTAACTCTGTTAGGTGATGTTTATCTCTCTTATTTACAGCCTTTCTTTGTTTCAGATATGAGCATTTTAAAGCTACAAATTTCCTTCTATACACAGCTTTAGAAGTGTCCCACAAATTTTTGGCATATAGTACATTCATTCTTAACGTTATGAACCTTCTCACTTTTCTTAGATGAGCACACAAATAGAACCTTGATTATATGAAGACAATGAGGACACATGGTGACCATGCAATTTTCTCCATTAATTATTATTACGTGTATAGTAACAATTCTTTGATGATATATAAACCAAAGTCAAACAACACAACTTGAAAACAAACAAAGAAATCATACACAGAAATGTTTACACACTTGTCCCTCCTACAGTTTGTTCTCAATATGATGCTCTGTCTTGCCAGGAGATTTTGTATGGCTTAAAACCTGACATTTGCTTTTCATTTATATCCACCTTTTTTTTTTTTTTTTAATTTTTTTTTCAACGTTTTTATTTATTTTGGGGACAGAGAGAGACTGAGCATGAACGGGGGAGGGGCAGAGAGAGAGGGAGACACAGAATCGGAAGCAGGCTCCAGGCTCTGAGCGGTCAGCACAGAGCCCGACGTGGGGCTCGAACTCACGGACCGCGAGATAGTGACTTGGCTGAAGTCGGACGCTTAACCGACTGCGCCACCCAGGCGCCCCTATATCCACCTTTTTTATGATTCTTCTAGTCCTGGCTTTCCTAGATGAGTAAATTGTTTAAAAAATATTTTAGGGGCGGCTGGGTGGCTCAGTCGGTTGAGCGTCCGACTCCAGCTCAGGTAACAATCTCGCGGTCCGTGAGTTTGAGCCCCGCGTGGGGCTCTGGGCTGACAGCTCAGAGCCTGGAGCCTGCTTCAGATTCTGTGTCTCCCTCTCTCTCTCTCTCTCTCTCTCTGCCCCTTCCCCTCATGTTCTCTCTCTCTGTCAAAAATAAATAAAACATTCAAAAAATTGTTTTTTTAATTTTAGTTATCACCATCATTTACTAATTTATCTTTAAATGTCACCAAAAGTGACATTATATGTCACTTTTGATTCCAGAAGTGAAATTTCACCTTCAAGAAATATGTACATATGACATAGCAGGGGAAAATAGGATGCATTTTTTTTTTAATTTTTTTTTTCAACGTTTATTTATTTTGGGGGGACAGAGAGAAACAGAGCATGAACAGAGGAGGGGCAGAGAGAGAGGGAGACACAGAATCGGAAACAGGCTCCAGGCTCTGAGCCATCAGCCCAGAGCCCGACGCGGGGCTCGAACTCACAGACTGCGAGATCGTGACCTGGCTGAAGTCGGACGCTTAACCGACTGCGCCACCCAGGCGCCCCTAGGATGCATTTTTTTTTTTAACTGAATTCATTCAAATTACTTAAAATCTCATTGCATTATTCCAATTTTTCTCATTTTATTACAGACTGGCTCAAACTATATTACGAACTACATTGGGACCAATCAATCCACCTAAGAATTCAATTCACTAGGAGCGCCTGGGTGGCTCAGTCAGTTGGGTGTCTGACTTAGCTCAGCTCATGATCTCATGACTCATGAGTCTGAGTCACATCAGGCTCTGTGCTGACAACTCAGAGCCCGCTTCCGATCCTCTGTTCCCTTTTCTCTCTGCCCTTCCCCCATTCATGTGCTCGCTCTCAAAAATTAATAAACAAACAGCCAAACAAAAAGAATTCAATTATTTAGTTCTTAAATTCTTAGAATTAAAATTTATATAATTACGGACACTCGGGGGGCAGTAGTCTTCTGGGATGTATCCATTCTATCATGTTTTATCTTCTACAATCAATCTCTGAATCTAAATGTCTTTTCAGTTATTTTTTGGTCCATAGTTAGTTGTGGAAGGTATTTGCTTAGTGTCTCCTCTATCTTTTTTTTTTTCAATGTTTATTTTTTTTTGGGGGGGGGACAGAGAGAGACAGAGCATGAACGGGGGAGGGGCAGAGAG